GGGATGCACGGTGGGTTCGTTTAACATCCCCTTTGCTTGGTTGCTGTTGTCCCGGCTTCTGTCTTGTTGCAGCTGTCGGGGTTGCAGGGATAAAAAACTTCTGATTTCATCGTGGTGAGATCTGTTAACTGGATGGGGGTAGCAGATGTCGGGTTTTGGAGCAAGGAAGGAAGAGGGAGGGAAACGACGTGATTTCGGCAGATTGCTCGATGACGAAAGGTGTGCAGTGCTTGCCTCTCGACATCACGGGGACTCAACAATGAATTGAATTGTGAATGATCATGAGTGTGGGGGGCGAGATAGGTGTGGAGAGATGGGTGCGTTCTACATCTAGATCGGCGACGCTGCAGCTGGTTATTGTTTTCCCGGCAAATGTCGTTATGCGCGTGGGTACATGGGAGTCAGATTGACGAAATCTTCAAATTCACTGTGGGGAGTTCTCTTGAACGGGGGTTGGAGCAGGCCGCACATCTACACCCCCATACCTTCGCACTTACGCGCCTCTACATCCAGTTCCCGTCGTTTTCTATTCATCTCTACCAAATTCAACACACACAAATCGACCCGCCGTGATGGAGTATGTACCGGGGTTTTCTTTGAATGCGTACGCTGCCACTGGACCCTCTTGAATACGCCCTATCTGGCTTCATGCAACGACGCACAGTTCACATAGACAAAAGACCAGATTCTCCAAGTCGGTGATATCACTCTCACAGTCATCGAATGAACCAAAATGTGAGTCCCTCCAAAAAACCAGTTCGGAATCCATCGGCACAAGAGGATGAAAGGAGCAATCAGAAGCCCTTCCATCTGCAGTCAAGATTGCCCATGTGCAATTGAGAGGCCCAACATGTGGACTTGGTCGCAGCAGATATCTATCGGACACGAATGTTCAGCTTGAAATGGATTCCCGTCGAACCGCACCAGCATCCAAAATTCCAACCACCTCCAGAAACGCACGAAACAACGATAGAGACTACACGAAAAAAATGGAACATAACAAGTACAACAAGGAGATCCCCAGCAGACAACGGACAAAGGGCTAAGTTAGATTTCTCGCAAATACTGTATGAAAAATCTATAGTTGAGAGGAATACGAACGAAAAGAGCACGACACAGCAAGACAGCACAAAATGGGCCGAATGACAACCACAAAAAGCAAATTCTGAAATGATCCATACAGGAGCAACCCGGGATTGAGCCGGGGACCTCTCGATCTGCAGTCGAATGCTCTACCACTGAGCTATTGCTCCCCGCCTCATATTCTCCCGGGAACATACATCTTATTGGTAGCAATATACACGATAAAAAGCGACATCCAAAAAACAACAACTACGAAGAAATACAACCTTGTGATTAGTGAGGACGAGGACGCAAGCAAAAATCTATCACCAAAGTGTTGAGGATGGGAGTGGCCCAGGATTGAGCCCGGGATCTGTGAATCTGCAGTTTAATTACTCTACTGCCGACGCGTTGCCTCCTTTTCCATGCATTCGTATTTGCAACTTCCAATACAAGTCAGGTTCAAATGGAAAGCATCCCAATCTGATTCAGCTTGGCACGTCCGGATCCCTTGCTCCCCAATGTAGTCCACGCTTTCCTGAGGTTCTCGCGGCCCGGCGAAAGGCGGGAGAAATGGAAGAGAAGAACGTGAAGAGATGACGTGCGGTTGGGTTCGATGCAATGAAATAAGTATAGCTGTGTGGTGTTACATGCATGAAATCCCGGAGCCCGATATTACAGAATCACCAATATCAACAACCCGAAAAATGATGACGGAGGAATGAAAACAGTTCATTTCGGAAATCGCTTTTGCAGAGGTAGAGCAGATCGCAATTAGAAACAAAAACGCGACTATGGATACTGACACAGGAGCAACCCGGGATTGAGCCGGAGAACTCTCGAACTGCAGTCGCATGCTTTACCTCTAAACTATTGTTCCTTGCTTCACAATTTTTGTTGATACCACTATTGGTACGAAAACACAGAACAAGCGGGCGGATGGACATTTAAAAATGACCACAACCTTCAAAGAAATATAACCTTTGACATAAGTGTAGATGAGGTCTGCCAGGAAAAGAATCGCACGCGTGCGCCAGTACATTGAGCAAGTAGAGGTGTAGTCCGTGGTTGACCCGAGTACCTCTCAATCCTGCAGTCGAACCATAAATGATAACGTTCTCATGATTTGATTCAATGATATTGCAATTGCCAGTAGCTTCATGGAAAACGAAAACCAACCCATAAACAAAAGTCCTCTTTTGAAAAAGGCCTTTACCCAGTCAACAAAGAATGATTCCATGTCTGGCAACCGGTGTTGAACAGAGTGCCTTCCCATCTGTAGGTAAACATGGGCCGGTGCCTCTGTATAATATCAAAGTGAATTATTGTGCTGGTCACCTGACTTTATTTAGTCGCGACGAACGACAGTCATCAGACAATGCATGGAAATTTCAAAGGATCACATTTGGCCACCGCTATTGCAGGCCTGATCCAGAAACTATCCTGGTTTACCTCGAACCATACTCTTCTACATGACCCAAAAGAACAGTGGCGAAGATGCTAGAGCGCAGCGTTAATTCAATGATCGGAATGTATTTATTATAGTTACCTAATGGGGGTAAGGGCTTGAGGTGTGAGCACCGCCGACATACATCCAAAAGGAT